TTGCTGACATTGATGTATTGCACTGTCTAGTGAAGAATGCGGCTCCGCGCGCCCTTACAAGACGCGTACGGGGCCGCGAACACGGTGCTGGGGCTGCGCTTCTCAGCCGTGCCATACGGCTCCTACAGCGACTCGTTCTCGAGCTCCTCGCCGGCGTCGCAGCCTGACGACTTCCCCTTCACTCCCTATACGTCGTTCTCGTACGTGCACCACGGCCAACACGCTGTGGCATCCGCCGATGCTCCCTCCGGACAGCTTGCTCCACTTCACCCACCAGCCGATGCGCCCTCTTTCGGAAGACTCGCTCATGTACTTCCATCCGCAGGGGATGCGTAACGACGACACCGACGCGCTGTTCGCCGCCTACCTCGACCCTCCCATGGCGCCGCAGGACGATTCGCCGATGTGCGGGGGTGTGCAGCAACCAGTGAAGTCGCCGCTACTCTGTGCGCGCGCGGCCTCGAGTTGGCCGTTGGCCGCGTGTACATGGTGGCTGCAAATCTCCGCTACGGCACCACATGGCGCGACCGCCTCCAACATGTGCCGCCACCGATGAGCACGGTGAGCACGTTGACGTACGGCAGGGCACGATCGTGCCGCTGCGCCCGGGCCCCAAGAGGCTGGACAGCGCTGACCACCTAATTTGACCACGCGCATCGGCGGACGCTCGAGTCTAGAGCCACTGGCACGGCCCGAGGCTGGGAGGTATGTCCGCGAACTCCTGGCAACCCGTTCTCTGACGGTTGATTCGAAATCGCCGAGGCCCTCGGCAGACGTCTTATGCGCCCCCGCCCCGCATCGACGAGGCCGTGTTGTTCACTTGAAACTGAGGTACGTCCGTTGCCATGTAGTGACCCTGGTGTACATGGCCAGATGCGACTCTGCCGCTGCGCCGCGAGCGAGTTGGGTGGGCGTGGTTACAAGATCGTATGTGGTCGATTCCCGTGCGCACGGTAAGCCCGCGGCCCCTCTCCTTTCGCCTCGCTGCATGCTGACATGACTGCGCTCGCGAAAGGCATAGACACGTACCTAGTCGAGATCGTAGTACCCACCTTGTAAGCCAGAGACAGTCGTTGAACCACTGGATCACGACTCACACGCCGTGGCGCACCCCAGGGAATGGACAAGGCCGTACCAGAGTGCTCGGGAATCGGATAGGTAAGAGATGTGTTCACCCCGAGGGACCAACATCAAGCTCACATCTCCGCGGCCAACGTAGGGAGCGCAAACTCCTTGCCATGCGCGAGCGGGGCAAGATGTGCGGTGCGTCATGCTGTTCTCCGCAAATGTTTCGTGTTCCCCTGCCGTGTACCTATCTCGGCCGAGGCTGTATCTCTCCATGATAGCCTTCCTGTATTTACTCTACTCCGATGCATGTCGTAAACCTGAAGCCAAGTGTGCGGATCAGACAGCGAGATTAGGACAAGATAGATGGCACTCTCACCAGATTGCTGGTTGCTATGCACACGCAGGGAATGACGGCCGTGCATTGCGGAGACCTCGTGAACAAGGCTGTAGGAGGGCCATAGTTTGCAATACATTCCTGCCTCAAGGGGGCCGTGAGAGCGGCTGTGCTCGATCTGCATGCGGCATGCAACGTCGGATAACGCGAGGTGCTTTGATCTTCAAGTTGTAGTCAGGCATACGGAGCCTGGATGGCACCCGTCGTGGCCTGCGACAAGCCCGACCCGCCGCTACAAATGTCACCCACGGCAGGGACTATGCTGTGAGTCCATGTTGTCATCATTGCAGCCGCTGACATAGGAACTTACAGATGCGAGGTGCGGCAGCACTTCCAAGCATGTCGGTGAATGCGGGACGTCCGTGCCGCCAAGTGCATACAATATCGAGCTCCCATGCCCTCGTCGTGTCGTACTATCTTCACGATGGTACCATGTGCCCCGCTGCCCATTCTTTTCGCGCAGGGTTGCGCTCCGCCATCCTGAGCCGCCACCAGCAGATACCGATTGAGCGAAGTGGCGGCGGTACAGGACACGCCGGGTACCTCAACGGCAAGCTTCGTGCGCACGTTTGAGGATCGCCCTGTGAACGCATATTAGGTGAACGGCGAATCCCTGGGGGTACGATGTCGCCAGAGCACGTACCGAGATGTCCGGTTCGTACGCGCCCCCGGCGTAGCGTATAGAACCAGGATCGAGTTAGCACCTATGCACGCGGACCGACGCTGATGCTCTAGAAATGTTCGTTCCCCTGGCGATGTTCTAGCGCATGACACGGGAGTCCCGAGTCCTGAGTACTGCCGTCCACCGTCAAATGCCCAGGCGGCTCGCGGCCCTCATACGGGGTTGTGCCGAACTTAGGGGCCAGCAGCGCATATCGCAAACGGCGGCGCTGCATGAAGCGACTTGTCCGGATCTGTTATTGTCAGCGAGGGTTGTGCCGGACCATACGTATCCGAGGTGCCGTGCCCCTCGCTCAACCATATCGCAAGGAGACATTCCACGATCTCGCGTGCGTCTCGGTCGTCCTGCGAGCAAACCGCGTTGGGAAGACGCTGCACGGCCTTGTGCGTGCGCGTCTCGGCCGTCCTGCCGGTGAGTGGAGCGTCCAGAGCGTCGAACACCCCTGGCAAGTACGTACGACACCAAATCTAGGTCCTTGCGGGGAGTGGTCACGCCGTGGACCTAGGGCGGGCTGCTTGCGCGTACGAGTGAAGCTCATAGCGTGTCGTTCATGTCGTAATCTTGTCCACCGCGCGAGACCCGACCGAGCCAGACAAACACGACGAGTTTGTCTGGGTGTTGCCTGGTCGCTTGCAGGGCGGCGTCGTAATTGATGTGGGTGTCTCTTCCGGAACTGGTATGCGAATATGAATCTTGTCAGCATATGGTAGAGCATGGCGGCGCCCTGAGACACGTAGATGAACCGAGAGCAGGTGCTTACCGAAGTCAAGAGCGCCGCAGCATCTCGTAGACCCCTCGCGACGTGGAGGCCAGGTCGAGTGTGGCACCCGTGATCGCCGGTGCAGCAAATGCGCAATTCGGACCTGACCGTGAGCGTGCGCGAGACCAGGACTGTTCGCCTCGCACTCATATAGTATGGCTATCGCCGCCGCCCTCGTGTCGGTCCTATCCACCCTTCAGCCTCAATTTGTATTGAACTTCTCCGAGACGTACATACCGCCCTTTCAGCCTCGATCTCTGCTCCATCTGACGATCACATAGCCGCCAACGTTCGTTGACCGTCATGGCCGTTGTACGCGCTCTTGGCCAGACCCTCCGCGAGGACTACGTCCGTGGAGAGATGAAGATGCGCGGGGAGCTGCGATGGCTGATGAGAGAAGGGCTATGTGAGTGAATTGCCTTTGCGAGAGTGAACTCTTCAGGACTGACCTTATGCAATGCCAGCGGACATATCCGGTGTCCCTTGCGCGCGCATGGCCTACACTATCAAGGGCTACTGCACGCGCGTCGTCCTGCGGTACTCGGTCAGGCTTGTCGGCTGGCCCGACGACATTGTATTCGACAATCTCAGCCGCGTCACCGGAAAGGAGCGGGTCTCGCGCCTCCTCGCGCTCTGGAAGAGCGGCGTCATGCACTTCGTCCCCATCACCGACACGGCCGTGCTCGACGCAGCGATGAAGGACCCCCTGACCGTCGCTCCGGCAGTCCTCCACCGTGGCATCCCGCCAAAGCGTCACCGCAGCGACCTCGGCAAGCGCCATCGACGCCCGAAGTCGAACCCACACGGCTTGCCATCGAGGTACCCTCGGGATGGACCGAAGTCGGCCGAGGTGATCACAGATGAGGCGGAGGCTTGGGCGGAGCAAGAGGCCGGGATCGCCGAGCTGACCGACTTGCAGCTTGTTCTACTTAGACTACAGCGTCTGCCATTCGTTTGGCCGGAGTTGGCAGCGTAGAGGACTGCATATACTTACCGTCACTGGTGTATGATTCGCTAGTGTAGACGGCCGGTCCGAGTTGGCGGGTGCTGTGAATACTAGTGCTCGCAGCTTCCGACGTCAACCCACTCAGAGTCCGAGATATCAGAGCAACAGAGTATCATTGCCGAAGAGATCGCCCGCGGTCTGGACGTTGGGCGGACAACAGAGGAGAGAGTGACGGTTGCGAACAAAGCTGTACGGGTGACTGCCAAACTAGGAATTCACCTCGCGTGCGTGGGCGCTTGATTCATCGTTCTCGCGCGCGGCGCACCGCGCGGCATTCGCCACCCCTCACTCTTCCTCCCTCTCACGTAGTCGCACGCTCCGCCACTATTGGGCTGGGCTGTTCTTTCCCCTTGGATATATTCCCTATCTGATGTGACAGGAAGTGTTCTGTATGGTCGCTCAGCGCAGATCGCGGTGTTCCCGATGCTTGCTTTGTGGGACCGGACACTGTGAATTATGGATTGATTTGCGTGGCGCAGAATAGCACTTATAAATTAGCGCGAAGGGCTCGGCATGGTCTCGACAAGGATTCTGTACGCTCTAGTCCTGCTGCGGACTGAGCGCGGAGCTTTGGATCGTAGTCAAGGAGGTATCCATGCGAGGAGCGGGGTTGCCCGCTGCTCGAATTGTTACCTCGCTTGTTTGCAGTCCTATCCGGCTGTACAGTCGTTCAGAGCGTACCCCCGCCCAGGGTTCCAACTGGCGCAAACGTGGTCATGGAAATGTGGGGGCTGGGCCAGTGTGCGTGATATATTGAGTATGCCTGAGTGGAAGCCATCAGAAGACAATAAGTACATCAGCGAGAGAGATTGGAACAGTCTTAGGGTTCTGCATACACACAAACACATTGCATTGCACTCGTCACTAATAAAGTAAGGCAAAGTTACATGCATTATAGACCTACACAGAATATACTTGTCTGGGAGATAGGAGAGGATGAGGGAGCACCCTGGGGTACTCTCTGGGTGGGACTGCCTGCCGTAATGTAACATCATAGCTCCGGGCGGACGTGCCGGGTGGATACCCGTGCTCGGGAGAGCGCCCCAGCAGACGACATGACTTGATGCAAGCGGAGAGCTGTATTGGCGAGAGTGGCTCGGAAACCCCCGCACCTGACTGTGCACAGATGTCAAACTGGAATGTGCATGAATGCTGGATTGGGGACGCACCAGGCCATCCGAGAGTCGCTACTACACTGGCATCAGAGAGCGGAGCAGAAATGAGCCGCAAGCGGCAGGTGGAGATGCACCGCTGCATCGCGGCCGGCTCACAATCCCACCGACGCGCACGATATCGGGGCGCAGGTATGAGCGACTCATTCCCTTCCTGCCGCGCAGACGTCCTCCGCTATGCTTGTCCAGAGTTGTGTCCTGCAGAAAAGGTCTCTCAGCACGCAGGCGCCACATTCGCGGAAACTCAAGGCACTTACATGAGGTACGAGAGCCGCCGACGGGATGTGCACTGTCTTCGGGCCGGGTGTCGGGGCGGGTTGCGGAACAAAGACAGACAGACGCGACAAATCGGCGCGGACGAGTCGTACTGGCGAACAAGAGCCCTTTCTCGGTCAGCGCACTCGGAATAGGCGGGCCGGGGAAACTGAACCTAGCGTCCGGCGCGCGTCGATCAGCCGGACGTCCACGGCGTACACCACTTCGCGAACACAGTGCGTGCTGTCAAAAGTGCGCCGCGCGCGCGTCGTTAAACTGACCGAGTGCCTCGTACTGCACCGAACCTGCCTCAGGTGTCCTTTGCGCGCAATGACACGGCCGCCCCGCAACACGGAGAAGGGCGGCGATACATTCTATCGAGTGCTCGAAGGCGGCGGCAGAGCCTGAGCGGGGCAAGTGTTGTCGTCTGGGGGCCTACGCATGACGCTTCTGCGCCAGGAACGTCTGCTCACGACGTATGTCCATTCGCGAGGCCATGAGAGACACAGCATGACGGCGGGCTACCGTCGAATTAGGCCTGTTCGTGTCTCGGCACACTTGACTGTGCCGTACGCGTCTGGTATTCCAAGCGCATGTTCTTTGCATTCTTCGCGGAACGTGGGCCGACTGGAAACTCGAGCAGGTTAGTACACCTTCTCCGTGACGTTTGGCGAGCCTGCTCACCATGTTCTGTCGTGCGGGCGATGTTGACCACTCCGCTGGCCAGGATCCGAAGGTACCTCGCGCTGGCTTCCGGTAGCCTGAATCTGCACAT